TGGTCAAAATCTCAACAAAATAGCAATGATTTTTAAAGAAATTGTGTGTCATTTTTTATCACCTAGATCAACTCCAATTATAATAAATGTTGGCACACTAGTACATTTCAATATGTAGTTTTGAACGATAAAACTACTCTAGTCAAACAAGACACATAATTTAAATTAAAATTTATTTAAATAAATTATTTAAAATTTATAAAAAATACAATCATCATAAATTTTTCATTTTGATTCACTCATTTTCATCCTAATAATTATCCTAAGCCTACCTATATCATTTGTTAGTATTCTTAAGTCAATAATACATCAAACATTATCAATTTTTACACCCCATAATTTCAAAATAGGCAACAAATGAGCAAAAACTTACACAAAAAAAATAAATTAAAAAAATAATCTATAACATTAAATAAGTCATTCTCATACCCTTGAAATCAATAGATATTGGAAGAAAATGAAGAAAAAATAAAAAAAATCACACCTTTAAGCAAAGAGGATTGAAACCCAAAGAGAAAGAACCCAAGATGGCGAACGATAGTGTAGGAGGCAATGGCTTCATGTCAAAGCAATCCATGATGGTCGACGACAACAATAGATGAAGATTGTGGGAGTTTTTTAAATTTCATGTACAAGTGAAAAAGAGAAGAGTAGATAAATAAAAGGAAATGAATGATAGGTGTTTAAATGCCCATTTTTATAATACATGATAGGTGTCTCAAATATTCATTATGTATTATAAAGGCTTTAAATGACAGGTGTTTAAAACACCCATCATTTAAAGTTAAATTTTGTTTCTTTTTTTATTGATAGCAATTTGAAACATTATTAAATTTTAAATAATGAGTGTTTCCAAACAACCATCATTTAAATTCTTCACAATAAATGTCGAATGTTTAAAACACCCTTTATTTATTGTTTAATTTTTTTTAATATTTTTATAATTTAAATTTTAAACTTTATATGATAGGTTTTTAAAATATCTATTATTTATTTGAAAATAATAAATGGCAGTGACAAGTATTTAAAAAACTTGTCATTCATTTCTTGACTATCACTCACCTTCTTTATATATGATGTATTTTTTTGAACTATTATTTCCGTGGCATCTTGTATACAAATTTTTGTAGTGGTGCTTCTAGAAATTAAAGAAACATAATACAGTGTCAAGACCTTCAGCAAAAGCTGAGTATTGAGCTCTCACTTTTATAACAGCAGAGATTATTTGGATTTTAGGAGTGATGACAGTTCTGGGCATTCAACAAACAAGATTAGTTGATATTCACTGTGATAGTAAGGCTGCCAACAAACCCGGTGTTCCATGAATTAATGAAGCACATCAAAATTGACTTCCACTTCGTAAGAGAGAAGCTTCATTAGGAACTTGCCAAACTTCAGCATGTGAGATCTTACAACCTCCAAGTAGACATCCTGACTAAAGAACTTGGATGGAATACACACAACTATATAATGGGCAGGTTAAGAGTCTTTCATTTGCATGATTCTAACTCGTGGGAGTGTTAATCCAAATAGTGTTAATAAACCTACCAAGAATAGAAATTGATTGTGTTGTGTTATGGTACGTTATTCATCATTTAGTATATAAATAGGTGTTGTGTATTACAGATAATGTGACTCATGTATTCTCGTTTTTAGTTAATGGATATTATATTTTGATCAAATGGTTGAGTGATATTGAGGCCAACAGATCTATTGCTTGGACTAGTCTGAAATTGAGGAGAAATGAAGAAGTTTGTCACTTGACAAATTCGCCATGAATCAATGAAACTGATAAAATTATTTAACTTGTCTAATACATAATGTATTTCTATAATTATTTTTTGAGCTTGGAAATATGCCTGAGACCCAATATTAATTCACAAAAACTTTCATTTATATAAAAAGTTATTATCTCTGTCTCTTTTTTTTTTGGAGGGGGGGGGGGCAATGTGGGATCCTGCCGTTCTAAGTAAAATTGAAAATACATGCCAATCCAGACTATAAGAGTTGGTTCATGAACTAACTTGTAATTAGGCTGAGTTGAATCAACTCATCTTTATACGTGGTTGAATCAACCTAATAGTTTATATAGGTCAAGCCATCAATCCATACAATTTTTTCTCATAAATTTTTATAATTTTTAAGATATAAATTTAACCCATCTAATTCATATAAAATTATCCATTTTAAACTAACATGTTACATGATGCATCTTTTAAATTTAATCTTAATTTTTTTAGAAAATAAAAAAGGATACTCTCACTTAATTCTTTTGCCTTTAGGTAGTGTAATTTTTTTTTTTGCTAAAATACATAAAAATTTCCTAAATTTTAATAGAGTTGTATATGACTTCTTTCACTTTTAAAAATTTAAAATTAACCCACTAAACCTTTAATTTTGTTTTCCAAAACCCCTACTGTTAATTATATTATTTTTTTATCAAAGTTAAAATATCATTTAACTAAAAAAGGCTATAAAACAAAAATATTATATTGTAAAACTATTTATGATCAATTTCTTATATTTTTCAGATAGTTGAGGCATTGATAGCTTAAAAAAACATATTATTATCACCATCTAAAATTTTAAATATTTACATTTATATTAGTTTTGTCCATATTTTTTTGTTATTAATGGGGCATATTTTTATGATTTTAAATGATAAATTTTTATTTATATTTCCAAGTTTGATTAATATAATACACATGGCTAAAATATTCAAAATTTTAAATATTACTATGTTAGATTAATTTATCCTTTAATACAAGAAAATTATACACTATTTATAATAAAAAAGAAGAAAACTATTACAAAAGTAAATATTTACAATTTTATACATTAATAATAAAAAAATTTTGCTATCAATACTTCAACTATTCAAAAAAACATAAGAAATTGATTAGCTATAGTTCTACAATATATTATTTTGTTTAATAACATTTGCTTAGTTAAATGAAATTTTAACCCTTATGAAAAAATGATATAATTAACAGTAAGGGGCTTCAAAAAAATTAAAAATTAAGGAAGTTAATTTTAAATTTTTAAAGATAAAAATAGTTATATACAATTGCTTCAAAATTTAAAAAGTTTTACATATTTTAGCTTTCATTTGTTTTTGTAATATCCGTTATATGAGCCAATTTATGCATTGGTAGCCCATTTAGACCTAAACGATGGAAGCTAAATTTGTTTGAGTTGAATATTTTCAACCCCATTAAACCCAACCCATATTTCTAGTTTTAATGATTCAAGCGACTTGAAATAACTTACAGTCTTTTACACGCATTCATGATTTCATATATATGTATGTGTATATTGATTATCCTCAAGCTCTTGAACTATGTACAATTTCAAAATCTTTTAAATTTCATAAGATTAAAAAAATTACTTAATAAAATCAGCGACTCAAACGCTGTCATTTGGTGAAATCGTTCAAGTCGACATAAAGAGTATATTAAAAATATTAAAATAGTATGACAAGTATGATACAATATTATTATGAATGACTTTTGAGAACTAAAATAAAGGAATATACATAATTAAAAAAGAATTCAAAATTAAGATTTTCAAGTAAGTGAATGAGAATTACACTTTTGGCATAAAATTGTTAACACTTTTTTATGAAAGAAAAATTACAATAAAATCCTTCTAAAATATATAAATGACAATTTGATCTTTCAAAATATCATAATTCTCTTGAAATTTTTGGAAACTTTTCTGTTATTAATAAATTTATATAAATACTCATATTGAAAATAAATAATTTACAAGTTTTGTTTAAATATCCACAACTTTTTTTTTTATATTTGCAATAATGCAACAGCAAATTACAACTTCACACATTAAATTCCTTATTTACTGTATAAACAAAACTTGTGAATAATTTATTTTTAAAAAAATAAATTTAATAATTTATATAAATTTACTAATGACAGAAAAATTTTAAAAGACTTCACAAAAATTATGATATTTCAAGGAATTAAACTATTATTTATATATTTAAAAGAAATTTTATTGTTATTTTTTCTTCTATGAAATCATCTTTACAGTAATTTTTACAAGAACTTGTTAACAAAACAAATTAAATATTTTAAGATTAGACTTGGTTGGATAGATTTAAATTTACATTTTAAATTTTAAATCTTAGATTTAAGCTGTTTTGTTTAGACAATGTAAAAGGCTTTAAAAAAACTTTAAAAGTAAAAAGAGACAAGTTAAGATTCAAAATTAAAATAATATATTGAAAGTAACAAACTTATTTATATTTTTCAATTAGCCAAAAATGAGGACAATACATAAGAAAAGATAAGAGTAACGAGAACACCGATAATTCGGCCCCAACGAAAAACAAAAACACCGATGATGAAAACATGAAAAAAAAAAAACAAAAAAACAAGACTTAAAATAACTGAAATAATTAAAGTTTGAAAAAAATTTAAAATTACAAAAAATTATAAAATATAAATTTAGATTTAAATCAAGTTTAAGTTCAAATTTTTATGTATTTAAATGAGATTTAATTCAAATTTAAATTTAAATTCAAATCGATGTGTCCAAATGTAGCATGAAAAGCTGCTTTATGCCAACAACTACAATACGTAAAACCCACATGAAGAAAATAATGCAAAAAATAAATATCAACCAATAAAGTGGAAAATGAGTGAAACCTCCTTGAAGTTTTACTCCAAAAGTAGGTTTTGATTTTTACAATTCCAATTCCCTAAATTAACCATTCAAATCAATTACTTGAAAAATCTGAACAATAAATTATTTTTTTATATTGTTAGCATAAAGAATACCCCAAAAAACTCGCTTAAATGCAAATAAAATACTAAAGATAGTAACAGCAGTTCTTAAAGTTCACAATCTTATTCTTCAATTAAATTTTAAAATGAACTCTCAATAATTTGCTGCTGAGTTGAAGGAAATATTCATACGGTACAAGAATTTGACCAAATTAGAGTCTGATTTATTCTTCAACTATTAAACATTAATGCTCGTTAAAAAAAAAACTACTAAACATTAATAGACTAAATAGTATCTACAGAGAAGCATAGAATTACAATTGCTTTATAACAAAGAAAATATAACTAGCACTGCTCTTGTGCCTTACATATAATGTAAAATCAAACTCATTCTCTAATCTCTATATTTATATATATTCATGCATTCAGAAAATGGGCACTAAATAAACCTATGCTTGAAACCCACATAGCATCTTTTTCCAACTATATCTGAATGCAATATATACACTTCCCTTTGTAAATATAGAGAGTCCTAATTGATTTCACCAGCATGCAGTCTTACCATTTTCACTTTCCTCAAGTTCTTACCATACTATTATCCCTTTATACTTTCATGTGGGGATGATATTTTTTACATCCCCACACCCTAAAACAGAGGGAAGAAAATGTTACCTAAATTACAAAAGCTGCGTCAGTGAGATGTGGAGTTACAACCTTACAGTCACCAAAAATTCTTGGTTGCAACTAGGATTTTATCTCCACTTTGTGATTCGGGTTCTTTATCATGTACCGTAGGCCTCCATCTCACTGCTCGAGTGATGCGTTCTACTTTGCCGATTACTTCGGGGGTGTCCCTCACCACAACTGTTCCTTCCGGTCGCAGCATTCGATCTATCTCCACCATCAGATCCACAAGATTACATCTGTAGTGATGCCATGAAGCAGCAAGAGTGAGTTCTTTACGGGTACAAACGTGGATGAGTTTGTTTGGTATGTATACGTAATGAAATGGAATGAAAAAATTTTAAAGATAGAAAATGACCATTGTGTACCTGCTCTAAGAAAATAACGGAAAGAAAAAAAGATAAGAGTCATGATTACAAAGATATGATATGCATTGTGTGTGTGTGTGTGTGTGAGAGAGAGAGAGAGAGAGAGAGAGAGAGAGTCATTTTCCTTCCATCACACCAAGCAGGTCCTAAAGGTTGCATTCCGTGGCATCAGTTTGATGCCTTTCAGGATTTTAATGAACTGAATAAGGTAACTGATTGAAGTCATAGTTATGTCTTATGACAAAGGATTGCATGTGTTAAGAAGTTTACATGTAAGGAAATAAAAAAGAAAAAAGAAAAAAGAAAAATCACATTAAATAATTATCTCACGGAAGCAGCATGCAAAGACATATACTAGGTTTTAACCTACAAACGGAAGAGAATAACACAATTACTAGTTCTAAGCAAATCAAGCAGTGCCTTAGATGAATTAAATATTAGTTCAAGTACAATTTTTCCTTGTCACTCTAACAGATAGTTTTTAAATATCACTTTAATTTAAAAGCTAAAGCTGTTAGTTGAAGGATCATGAATAGTTTTTACTATAATCAAGACATAGTTAATTTGAGGCTGAAATTGTAGTCAAGCATAAATCCACTTATAATGAAAGCTCTTGTTCTCCCCACCAGAAGGGGGGGAAAAGGCTTTGATGCTGAGACAAACCTCAACCTATGTTAAGTGAAAGTCCATGAATATTGAATAGATTTTATTTTATTTTCTTTCTCGTGAAATGAATACATTTTAAAAATAAGTAAATCACTAACAATCCTATTAACAAGTATATTTGACTTAGATGCAATGATAGTAATACACTTCTGGGGTATCCCCAAATTTTGAAGCACAAAAATACCTGTTTTTGCCAGAAGCTGGATCTTTTGTTAGTGATTCAATACCGGTCACATGGATCAGATCATAAGTGCGCGGATATGTTGAGAAAGGTTCACACCTGAAAGAAATAACCACAAAAAATTAGAGCCAAGAACCCTCCATTATAAGTTGTAATATATGTTTAAATACACCCCAGAAATTCAAAAGATCAGAAGCAGAAATTAGATAAAAGTCTAAAACAAGTCAGTAATTAGGGATGCCTAATTTTTACTTAAAGAACAGATTTGAATAAAGAACTTTTGATACAAGCAGATAAACAAACCAGAAGAAAAAGATACATTATAAGGGAACTGCTCGTAAGACACAGGCATAGTCACAAAACATGAAGCACAACATCCCAAGATATATGAGTTTAAGAGTTTAGCGTAGGATAATATGAAGGTAGGAAAACTAATGAGTTCAAAATCAAACTCGTTTTCGTTGAAACTGGGAGAGCTCATGAATTAAGAGTAAACTCATAGTTAATGTATCTCTCTAGGCAACCTCCTCCTCCCTTTGAATCTCTCTAGCCTAACCCAGCTTAGAGCCCTAGAAGAAAAGAATCTCCGCAATAAAATCTCAAGACTTTCACAACATGGTAGAAGTTTTGATCACCCAGCCCCTCCAAATAATAGTTTTGCAGCAAGCTGACCAAACACTCTGCAGTCTGCATCAGATTCAACCTTTTAACAAGTCAGGCATTGACCCACTTGCAACAAGCTCTGGATCAATCTTTCTCTTCACAAGCTCTTTGGTAAACACATGCATGTGACACTTGTGCCTCTCACTAGTTTAGTTAAACCAATAGTTTGACAATGTTGGATGTACAGAACAAGAAATTTTAATGAAAGTTAATGCATATTTCCTCCATTCAAAAATGTAAAACAATTTTAACTGAATCTCACCCCTCAAATACTTACTTTTCTTCAAACTAACCCTATTTTTTCATATTTACTCCTATATAATAGAGTGTTTTATCCTAAAATAAATATAAAGTAATTTATTCAATCAGGGCACTTTTCGGAAAAAAAGCAATGATTATATTTTAAAAGACTAAAAATGACTTACATTTTTAACATCCAACCCTTCAAAAAATGCTTTATATTTTTTAACTGAGGGAGTATATATAAATAAGGCTTGTAAAAATTTTAACAATCCATGCAGCCGACCCCACCTAGTAAAATAAGGCTTCTTGTTGTTGTTGATATATATATATATATATATATTACAAAATAGTGAATGCTGGGCTCTAACGGGACAGCAAGAGCATAAAGTTGGAGTAGCAGAGATGAGAATGTTACGATGGATGTGCGGACATACACGTAAAGATAAAATTCGAAATGAGCACATACGCGAAAAAGTGAGGGTGGCACCTATTGAGGAAAAAATGGTAGAAAATCGGTTGAGATGGTTTGGGCATGTACAAAGAAGACCAAGGGAGGCACCAGTGAGAAGAGTGGAACATATAACTTTGAGTCCGATTAAGAGAGGTAGAGGAAGGCCTAAGAGAACACTCTTGGAAGTTGTTGAACGTGATCTCTTAATTAATAATATTTCTAAAAGCTTAATAAATGATAGAGCACAATGGCGTCTTGCAATCCATGTAGCCGACCCCACCTAGTGGGATAAAGGCTTGTTGTTGTTGTTGTTGTATATATAATTACAAAAAACTCAAGAAACATCTAGGGTCTGATGCAGATTCGATAAATGAGCAGCTCCTTTTTTGAAATACTGGCTCAATAAAATACTCATTGTCTTGGTTTAAAAGGAAATTAACATTGTGATAGACAAAAATACATCGTGATTTTCAGATTATGCATATCATCAGTAAAAAATAAATACACCTTTAACATATACCAAAATATATGCAAGAGTTTAGCATTCTTAGAGAGTGGCAGTAAAATATTTCAGGAGAAAATGCATGAATCTTTCAGCAAAAACTCACCAATCGTGATAGACTCCAACAAGACCTCTGTCAAATATCACATCAAGAGTGGACAGCTTGCGTACTGGAACCACATTCATCACCCACACAGGATCAGATTTTAGTGCTGCAGCAAAACCCCCAAACAATGCATTCATGTCCATAACATTTCGTACAGCTGGAGTCCCCAACTTTATGTTCAGAGAATTCTTATAGTAAGCGACCCTCCTAACCCAACGCCTAGTATCAGCCTCAAATACATCAACAGCATTTTTCAAGACTGAGGCTCTTGGAGGTGTTGCAGTTAGCCTCTCTGGCCATTTGGGAATCATTCCAACAGCGTATTCTCCTTTGACAGAAGCCATCCTACTGACGCATTTCTTCAACTTGAAGTACCTGAAAAATTAAACATCTTTATTGGCAACACAAAGTAATCACTATATAGAATGTGTTAATAAAATTCACCCATTTGCTAGCATGATAGGTCCAATCAGATCCAAGCATGACTAGGAACCATCAAAGTTGAAAATGACAAAAAGGGCAAAAAAAAAAATAATAAGAGGAAAGATAACTATCCATAGTCCAATAGATTACCACGCATAACTTGGGTCATCTGAATCATCACATAACTCCAGACCAAATTCATTTTGGTTAGGGAGACACGAATCTCCAGCAGGCTTTTTCCAGATCACAGTGTTGCCATCCACAGCAATCAGTTCATAACACAAAGCTCTTGCCACACCCTGGAGATCGGACCATTCTTTATCTTGTCTTGGCCACTGTACAGGGGGACCAGAGATGACTAAATACCCACCAGGGCGAAGTAATCTATCCACTTCAATAAAATAAGTTGCATCTGCAAGGCAGATTTTCTGCATTAGGAGTGTGATAAGAGTTTAGAGGCTTGCAAGACATTAAAAGGTGAGCTGCAACAAATAACTTACTGTAGGCTGTAAAAGGAATCAAACACCGCGAACAATGCACTAAGTCAAAAGCAAATGCTGGAAATGGGAGCCTGCGAGTGCCAAGCATAGCAACAAGAGCTGGTATTCCTCTTTCCAGAGCAAATTGTATTTGTGCTTTATGTGAATCTCTTGGAGCAAAGGACATAGTTAAAATATCTTGAGACAGTAGAAATCCTCCAAAACTGGCAACCTGTAAATCAAGGAAAATACGTGCATGTTAAATAGTAATAAATTGTTGCAAGGTCTTAAAGCGAAGTAGGTAATAAATCCTACCCCACACCCCATATCAAGAGCAGTCCTCAGAACTCCACCATTTATTGGAATGTATTGACCAAGTTTTTCAATGTACTGCACTGCCCCATCTGGAAACATTGTGCCACCACCAGGGAATATAAAGTGCGGACCTTCTCGTTTCATCCATCCTTGGTGACCTTTCCTGTCAGCAATCTTGTTGTGCGGCATGTTACTATGCCATATCTACATAGAATGTATTAACACTATTAGATAGATGTGACAAGATTATAAGCAGAACATTAAATTGTATTTTGATCTCTCGTTAAAGTGAAGTACCACATCAACTGGGAATCTTCAATTCATCAGGCCTCATAATAATCCAGTGGTTAAAAACTTTTTTCGGGACCTTTAGAAAATATATGAAATAAACCAAACAAATAGTCCCATTCAAAACTAAAAATTGAAACCCAAGCTGCTTTTGACTAAATGTGTTTCTGTATTCTTTTTTTTTTTTTTTTGGGACTCAAATGTGTTTATGTATTGAAAGAATAAAGACAAATGATTCTGCAGCCTTGTCCAAAAAATTTAGTTTCTCACACAACCATATTCTTCTTACTCAAACCAGAACCATATTCTTCTTCCTCATAAAAGGAAGTAATTTTTTAATTCAAAATTTTAAATGCCACAGCCATTCTTATTTTAACAAAAAAGAAATTATTTTCTAAAATTCAGGATAAATTCCAATCTCACCATGAATGAAAAACTACACTTCATCAGAAGATAAAATATGAGTAATAATTTTCAGTAACAAATGAGAACAGAGAATAAAATAAAAGTGTTCCTCCCATTATCTCCCCAGCTTGCAGAGCAGTTCATTTTGGGTACTCCAGTGGTGTCCAGAAACAATACTCGCATATTTCCAGTAATAAAATATTTATTTTGGTCAAGGACTCAAACACATGTAATATAGTTTTTAGCACACAAGAACATAATTGAGTTAGATCCTAAATGTTAGGAGTGGATCTATTATTTGTCAAAATATGAATTGCAGTACTGTTGGTGACCCTCAGATTTCATCCATCAGTAGTAAGTAACCTTTCCACAATCTTATTGTGTAGCAAGTTGTTGTGGCATATTACACAGACTGTACTTAATACTATTAGATAAACGGATCAATTGGTCAGAAGAAAACTACTGGAAATCAAATAAGCCACGAAGATGATGAAAAGAATATCAAACTTTTATTAATAATGATCAAACAGATGACACACAAAATCACAAATAAGAAGAAAATATTTGTGAACACAGTGACAATAAACCCAAAGGCGAACACTGATGAACTCAGGTTTGAAAAATGAACTCAGCCAGGTAACAACGTGACGATAAGCCTAGTGAATGAACCCCAAGACAAACCCAAGGGGTGATTGGTGAGGGAGTGAACAACGAATGAAATATCCCTAATAATGACAAGCAACCCTTCTAATAGATTAGGGTCCTAAACTAATATATCTATATCTAATACTTCCCATGCATACCCAGCACCTAAATTGTTTTAAGATCTCTTGTTGAAGTCAAGTCCTATATCAGCTGGGAAATTTAATTTACTAGGGCCCAGAAAGATCTAGACATTAAATATTATATGTACAGAGCTCTGAGGAAAAAAATCGTGGAAAACAGGAAGTCCCATTCAAAACTACAAACCAAACCACATGCTCCCTTTGTGTTTATTCAGTAGTGAGAAGAACAAAGGAAAGCGGTTGTGCGTCCTTATCTTTTCAGAAACAGAATGATATTGTTCTGTCTCATATAGGGACAACTTTTTTTTTTTTGGCATTAAAAGGGACATATTGCTAGTACTCCTTAAAAATTGCATTCTACATGCATTCATATTTTTACAAATAAGCTATTATTTCCTAAAATCTAGTATCCAATTCAACCTTCCGCAACCCCAAAAAAAAAAAAAAATTAAATTCTTGCGGGGACTGAATTTTAAATCACATGTAAATGACAATATTACGAAAGTAAGTAATCTGATTTAAAATTACATTTGAGACTGATGCTAAATTTCAGGCTAAAATTGCTTAAATGTTTGTACTAGTACTGAGATCATTCAGTAGCATAATATACACAGTGAACTAAACCATACCTTATGCAAGCTCTCCGGCCACTGCACCGGTATTTTGTAACCATCAGGCGGAGGAATCAGGCAAAGAGGGGTGTCCTCCGGCCTCGGACAATGCCTCTCTCTGTAGTAATTCATTTCTCTACTTAGCTGACTGTTCAACCTCGGATCCTCGCATGGCATATGGTCCACGGCGTCGGCAGGACAAGCCTCGATGGTTTGCTGCTGCCCGGCCTCGATAACGGCTACGAGGCGATGACGCTGCTGTGGATCTGCGGTGGATCGAAGAAGGGTCTGACGGCCGGAAGCCGCAAGCGAATCACCAAGAGGCGTAAAGACGAGGAGGAAGAAGAGGAACACGAGGCCGAAGAAGAACGCCGACACGAGGTCCAAGAGCCGCCATTGGCGTGTATTACGCTTGGAAGCTGGTAGATTCAAGTGACCCATATGAAAATAAACAGGATCTGATCAAATGGGCATTTGGGTTGTCGATTTCAGAGCACTTCGGATTGAAAATCGGTTTTTTTTTTTTTTTTTTGTAGAAGTCGCAATATGTTGCAGATATGTCAGCAATAAGGGGGGCAACACTTAGATCATGTGACTGAGAACTAGTGCCTACGATTGCTTGCCGTGAAATAAATCGAACAATCAAAGTAAACCAGATAGTAGCAGTAGATTCAATGGACGATGGAGAATATGAGATTCTCAGGTATTCTCAGATTTTGTATGCATAACCACAGGAAGAAGTATGAACTGAGAAGCGAGGACACTCATTGGATATTGTGGAATATCATTACTCTATCAGAGAAATGAAGGCAGATACTACCGCAAATCCTTTTTTTTTTTTTTTTTACCAGCGACGCGGCTGCAAATCTGCAATCTACATATATCTATGTATTATATAATAAAAACAAAACTACACCGTGATCACTGATCAGTACTAGTTGGCCAAAAAAAATCAGCACCGTATTATTATTATTATTATTATTATTATTATTATTTTGCACGGAGTCACTATTTTCTAAAATAATAAATAAATATGTATTATAATTTATTATAATTAATTAATTATGCTAATTATGTCACTCAATTTCAAAACAGAATTTAGATATACTTTAAAATTAATATAATATAGATATAGATGTTGATTTTATTTTAAAAAATTTGTGCATAACCTTAAAATAAAAATCTTCATACGATATCAATAAAAATGGAGAAATCTATTTAATTTATTATTTTAAAAATTTGTACAATAGAATAATATTTTTTGTTAAAAATAAAAACATTTAAATTTTGCAACAGATAATTAATTAAAATATAAATGAAACCTGACCCATGATAATTTTTAATATTTTTTTATTTTAGCACCCACTATCATTAAAAATTTAAAAATATTACTGTCATTCACTCAAACTAATTCAAATTCTTTATCATTAGCACTGCTATTATTTAAAGTAATGTCATGGGTATTTTAAAAATACCTTTAATGTTTTTATTTAATGCAATAACATATGAATTCAGACATAAAACCCAAGATAAGCTGGTTTTTTTTTTTTTGCCATTACTAATTGAATAGGATTTAAATCATTTAAAGTTGTGATATGTGAATCTCTATGAAATTTTCTAGTAAAAAAAAACTCAATGAAATTTTTCTTTTTTTTAATAATTTTTCATCATTTAATTATTTTTATAAAATGAAAAAATATTTTCTTATTTTTTTAAAAAAAAGAAAATTTCATTTAAATTCATATATCTTAATTTTAAAAGATTTAAATCCAATTGAATAATAATGGAGTTGGATTAGGCGGCTGACCATCATATCTGAATTTTTTTTTTTTTTTCTTGCGTTATGCCTAAGCTAAATAATTCCACTGGACAACAACACATTTGACTTCCAACTCGTTTTCTTTATAAATATAAATAGTATACAAAAGTGGAAAATAAACAGTAATGATGACTGTCTTTTGTTTTGCTTTTCCTCATGGAATTTGACCTGCGCTTTCCAGAACTTTGGCTTATGTTTTAGATTTGGTGATTCAACAGGGTCTCCTTTGATGGAAACAGATGTATACATGTTAATATTTTATCAAAATCAAACACATAGCGGCAAGAAGTTTATAAAATAAACTATATCATTTATAATTTACATATTATGCAACTTGTTATAATCTTTACAATTTATATAAATAAAATATATAGTAACATTTTTATTTTTTATTAATTATTCTTTTCTTCTTAGTTTGATATTTCAAAACATAATAAACATTTTTCAGTTGTAAAAATTATTAGTAAGATGAGTTTATTTAATTAATTAGAAAGTTTTATAATTAGTTAGGACATTAGATGACCAAAAAAATTAATCTTTTAAACAAAACATGTTATTTTAAGAAACATTTAGAAGGTCATTATAATAAGAATATAGAGTATAGTTTATAATATATGTTTATTGCTTGATTAAATGAAAAAAAAATCCAATAATATGAAAATTTTAGATGATGTACTTTTTCTAAACTATAATATAAGTCATAATTAACTAATTCACAGTTCATACACAATGTTAATTAAAATCTTAAATTTTTAAAAATATTTACATCTTTTCATTTATCCTTTTGAGTGAAATAAAGTAATTTTATTTAACTTATTTAATTAAAATACTCTCATTAATTACATTTATTTCTTTGTATTCATTATTGCTTTTAATTCACTCCCAACATAATGATGGGAATTCGGGTGAAGTTTAAAAGAAAATTTAAAAAATGGTGGGTTTGGGGCATTTGGACTTTGACATTTGGAGATGGCGGGTTCCACAGAGAAAATAAAAGGCTGGCCAAAGTTGGCTTCAAACCATATTCTTACATTCCATGGAAGGTTACAAGTCTCATCTAAGTCTCATCTCCATGTTCCACTTGTCACACAAGAAACTTTGATTAGTTTGATAAATCCATTGTGGAAAAAACTTTGGAATATCTAAGAGGAGTTCATGCTTAATGAGGAATCAAAAAATTAAGTTTTATTACTAAACTTTTATATGAAAAAGTGTTTTGATGGAAATTTTTGTTTTAAATTAAATCTATTTTAAATCCTTCTTAAATTTTGCTCATAGCAATGAAAAGAGTTGTTCATTCAAGATTTAACATACATACTAGAAATTCAAAATACAGACTTGAGAGCTTTTTGAAAATTGTACATCCAATTAAGATAAAGATGAGGAGAGTCATCATTTCATCATGCAAACCTGAAACTCAAAAACAAATTCAAACAAAATAAGAACGAGAACTAATAAAAGCATAGGACCACTAATAGAAATCGGGAAAGAAAACATGTAACATACTCATAACAAACTTCTTGCGTTCTTTTTGTTTTACTCCATCATTCTCATCGTCCTTTTCTGGGAATTTATTCAAATCAAAAGGAGACTCCACATTACTTTGCATCAGTGTTTTTTCCAACCCCTCTTCCTCTGGAAACTTGTTTAAATCGAAGCACGTCATTACATTCTGGTGAAGTGGTCTTTGTGCCCATCTTTTGTACAACATTGTCACCATTAAAGGAGACTTCAACCACTACGAAAGCCTCCTTTGTAAATATTGTATCGGTCATGGAAGACAAGAGACTCCAAATGCCTTAGAAGATGAAGTGGAATATGGCCATTGAAAGAAACACGTGCATGGACCCTTAATCTTCAACTTGGGAGTGTAAACCATTCTAATGAGTAATGATCCTCGTGAGTGTAAACATGATGGACTCAAGAGTTATTGCTTCAAATGTATTTTAATAAGGATAAACGAATAAAAACACCTATAAAGTAGTCAGTTAGGGACACCTAGTATCTTAAAATGAGGAAAAAAATACCCATAACGTTATATGATTGGGTGCAAAAGTGACTAGACCATTAATTTTGACCTAACGTCATTAACTTTAACCATTAAATGCTGAATGTGCATGTCACATGTCAGCCTTTGCTAACGTGAACTAATAAAATGGTAAAAATACTCATGAAATCATCTATTAGGAGTAAAATTACCCATAATATTATTAGAGTTTTTGCAAAAGTGATCAATTCATCAAATTCCTTAAATGTTGACTATTTAATTAATATCTAAGCAGAAGTTGACTATTATATCATTGGCACAGGTAAAAAATATTCCTAGATAAAATTCTCTTGAGGTTAATCAATCATTATATGAATATCATGTGAGAAAATGTCGTTTTAACCGAATATCAAATTAAATCGATTGTTTCTTTGCAGCAGTGGTAAAAACTATTTGAAAATTTTGAACATATCATAAATGAAATTGTTTAAGGTTGTGACAATATTCGTAAGGTAGCAAGGCGTAGGAGATGTGCTCAGTCTTAATTTTCGAATGTGTACAACCTATCTCATCATGTTGAATATTAGGTTTTGCAAACAAAAAAATGAATGAAAATGGAGGAAGGAAGGGGGTGAGATACATAGTGGTAGAATAAAAATCATGTGGCATCGATTTTAATGAATTGTTCACTAATTATGGATACTCATATGATGATGATGATCAACATCCATAAAAATTCATCTAGGAATATTTTTTTTTGTCTACATTAGCAAAAAAATAGTCAACTTCTATTTAAATGTTAGCAAAATAGTCAACATTTAAGGGATTTGATGCATTGGTTATGTTTGCACCAACTCTAATAACGTTATAGGTATTTTGCTCTTGGCCAATGACTTCATAGGTATTTTTGCCCTTTTATTGGTCCACGTCAGTAAAGAATGACATGTGGCATGCACAGTTAGCATTTAACGGTCAAAATTAATAGTGTTAAATCAAAGTTAACGATCTAGTTACTTTTACACTCACTTTGATAATGTTATGAGTATTTTTTTTCTCTTTTTTTCTTTTTCTCTATTTTTTCTCTAACTGACTAATTTGTAGGTATATTTTTCCCTTTATCCTTTTAATAATAATAAATTTGATTAGTCGAATACATTTAGCATTGGTCCTTTCATTTTTTTTTCCTTTTTCCCCTTTCACAAGGCTGAGATGGACCAATGAATCCAACTTATATTTAAAGTTAAAATTCACACCTCATTTTGATTGAGAGAAAAATAAGTTGAAAGCAAAATTATAAGAAAACATTCGTAAAAATAATTAATTATTTTTAATTACAGAGAGCCTCTAAAAACACTCGTACAAATTATTTTACTAATTTTAAACATTTTCTTTTTAGCTATTTCTCCTTCCTATTTTCTACCAAATTTTACTTACATCCAAACTAAGCACTGACGAGAATTTCAATAAAGGACCTTACAAAGGTTTAATTTCAAATCAAGATCAGACCTTTTTTCTTTCTGCTTTTCTTTTCCTAGAAATTTCAATGTAGGATTAAGAGAGTAAGTTGAAAATATGTTTTGATAAGAAATGAATATAACACACTTTGACTCGTTGCATAAATATTCCACTTCGCTCAACCCCCACCACTGACAAGTAGACCACCCTCACAACAATTGTTAGAACACCAGCAACCAGACTACCAACAATCGTTAGAGCTCCTGTGCTAGCCACCAGAAAATAAATAATTTAATAGAGTCAGTAACTTGGAAGGACTTGATTTATTGAGATAAAGCTTAAAGTATCATACTTTCCTTAAAAAAAATCATATAGTCAAGCACGATCCTAAATTTTTTTGATCCAATTCAAGCTAACTTGTCAAACTTGACCAAAATTACCAACATTACAAACATAGAGTTAAAAATTCTAACTACCGAATTTATTCAAATCAAGCTTAAAGTAGTTTTCTTAAAAAAGCCTACATAATAAAGCCCAACTCTAACTTTTTTTAAATGAGTTTTGACTGACTCGTCGGAC